CTAGATGTCTGATTTTTTTTTAAATAGTAATTGTAGATGTTAATGTCTCTCTTTTTGAGAATGTTACCTACAATAAGCAGGAATGAAGGCCACTCTCTCAAGCTGAAGAAGATGGCTAAACCTAGAAATTGAAGTAGTGTTTGAAATTACTTGCGATCGACACTCATTTTATAAATTGAAGAATAAATTCCAGACGCGGTCGTAGAATGACGACGAAGATCGATTTTACATACCTCTACAGTGAATTTGAGATGAGCTGGGAAATGAAGAAAATGCGTCGTACCAAAATGAGGATCGCTGGATCGAGGACGAAGATAGATTTGGCAAATTCAGAGTAGCTAAGATTATTCACGTAGGTAGTTTTGAGAATTACTCCCTCGGGAAATAATCTTCTAGGGAGTACTTTTTTGTACTTCCCGAAATAATTTCCCATTTCCTTTTTTAGTATGGACTAAATATCAATAATACCCTTCTATTTTATCACAAATGTACCTTTTTAATATTTTTTTTAATAATAAAAGGAGATTTAAAAGTTTATAGTATGTGCATTTTTGAAAATTTTACATTTTTTTTACTATTCCTTAATAAGCGTGCCAAGTTAACACGGGAAAAATATTTCCGGACGAAGGGAGTAACTGAATAGGTCGAGTGAAGGGTTACATCTGCCATAATGGCTCCCTTAATAGAAGGAGATAAATGAAAAAGAAATATATTGAGAAAAGAAATTTTTCTTGCTAGCCCATTTGGCTAGATTATGTGCTCCCATATTTCCTTCTCTGTAAATCAGACGCAAATTGTTTCCATCTTCTTGGATTGCTCGTTAAACAGCTGTCCAACCTCTCGATTAACTCATTGGTTTTTGTTGCCATGCATTGCTTTTGTGATTGTCTCCGAGTCTCTGTGAGCTCAAATCTTGTTGGAGAAACATTTGACCCAATTTAGTCCATGAAGTAAAACCCATGCTTCTCCTTCTAAAATATTGCTTGCGTTGATGTTTCATGTGTTGGCTGCCACAAAGTTTCCGTGATTGCTGCGTAGGATACCTTTGATCCAAGCTTCGAGCGTCTTGAGATTGTAGTTGCTCCACCATCTTTGCAGGTGAGCTCTCACCCCATGAGTTGTTTGCCATGGAATTTTGAAGATCCATTCTAAGTAGTTTCCAATGTTTCGTGCATAGGGGCATTGAATCAAAGTGTGAAGTGTTGAGTCTTCATTCTCATTGCATAATGGGCATTGAGTTGACAAGGATTCTCCTTACATAGTAGGATAAAGTAGATTCACCACTAAAAAAAACATTTTTAGGTATTGTTTTGTTTTCCAAATGATTTCCATGTCTTGGTTTTCCTCTCCCTCTTCTTGTGCTTGGATTGCTTGGTATGCTTCCTTTAGTGTGAACTCGTTGAGATGAATAGGTCTCCATTGTATGTCCTCATCTTCAGCTGCAAAAAAGATATTAGTAGCAAAGTTTTATATAGAACAAATTCTTTTCCATATAATGGAATCTGTAATATTGGGAATGAAGTTGTTACTTCTGGGGTATCTAGTTCTCATGAATTGACTCCATAGTGAATTATTTGCATGATAAGTCCACGACAACTTGAGGCTATAGGCTTCCTGTAGAGTGGCCAAGGACCTAACTTCCTGACCTCCCTTTTCTTCCAGCATACAAATCTTGTCCCATGAAGCCCAATGATACTTGTCTTTTCCTTTATTGTCTCCCCAAAGGAAAGAGCACATCTTTTTATTGAGGAGGGTAGTGACAGATTTAGGGAATTTGTTCCCAGTGAGGGTTTGGAGGGGTATAGAGTTGAGGACATGTTTGATAAGAATAAGTCTACCACTAGGAGTAAGGTGTTTTCTATACCAACCTTTAAGCTTCTTATCCAACTGATCAATGACATCTTTACAGTAAGGTGCTCTATTGATATCTTTGATGATTGGACCCCAAGGTATTTAAAATGCAGGTCACCTTTTTTCATTCCCAAGATTTTGGACATGGTTTCAATTCGCTGAGGTGGGGTTTTGTGAGGGGGGGGGGGTAGAAGCTGTTTTTGTCCAGGTTGATCTTACGACCAGAGCAGTGTTCATAAGTTTTTAAAAATTTGTGAAATTTGGTGAGGTTGGTGGAGGTACCATTAAGGAAGATGATGAGGTCATCTGCAAAAGCCAGGTGTGTTATGGGTAGGTAGTTTCTCCCCATACTATAACCTTGAAGGAGTTTATTGCAAATAAGATTTTTAAGAGATCGACTAAAACCCTCTGAGGCAATGATGAAGAGTAAAGGTGAGATTGTGTCACCCTGTTTCAGCCTTCTAGAAGTGTGGAATGATTTTGTGTTTTTCCCATTGATATTCACGGCAAGAGAGGTGGAGGTGAGAATATTCTGGATGAGGAGCATGTACTTGGCACCGAACCCAAGTCTTTTCAACACTTCCATCAAGTATATCCAAGAAACTCTATCAAAAGCCTTAGACATGTCTAGTTTGATAGCTAGGTTTCCTCTCCGACAGTCATTAGAGAGACCATGGAACATATCTTGGGTAATGAGGATCTGGTCATGAATGAGCATTTCCTTTACAAAGCCCCCTTGTTCTGGACTGATGATTTTAGGAAGAATGGAGGACAATCGGGGAGCCATGATTTTGGAAATAGTTTGGGCCATGAAATTAGAAAGATAAATGGGCCTGAATTCAGCAAAGTTTGGGGGGTTTTCCATTAGACCTCTCATACCCCCTCCGTTGTATGAACCCCAGTTATCCTTGACTACGAGTATGAATGAGTGGTGAGTTGTGAAGCAGCTCATGAATTTGAATGGGGACCCATGTAAACTTCTTTTTAAATTCTTAAGAGGATAGGAGTGTGATCTGATCCTCCTCTAGCCAAGTGTTCAGAAGAAATTTTCCAGTTGAGAGGTAACAAAAAATGCTTTATCTTGGTTTGTTGACAACTTAACTAAGTATTCAAGAGATTAAATGTCCGAACCCCCGTGATGAATTTCTGAAAAAATTCACAAAAGAATTAAAAAATTGGTTCGAGTGGCCAGTTCTTACTGGTTTAGATCGGTTCAATTCTGATTGCACCCAAACGACTAGACCGAACCGGTTGGACCACTGCTTCACGGCCCAAACCGGCCGATCAGGTTCAGTTTTTGAAACTATGGACATAGAAGACTAAAATGGATTTATAGATCCGGACCGAAAGGATTTTGGTTCGGTCTTCTGTCTAGGGTTTTTAGCATTTTGAATTTCAGTCTCGTTCGTCAATACCTAATTGTCATTCGATTTGGACCAAAATGACCGACAATATCCATTAACTTTGTATTTCTTATTTAATGTTAATCCACTATAGACTTTAATAGATCCAAAAAAACCTCCTCACTCCCCCTCTTTGAACGATCTTAATTTTTCAAACCCTTATCTTCTTTCTGACTGTCTGCTCACTCAATCGACAACATCATCCTCTCTTTCATATTCTACGAGGCAATCAACACTATTGGGTCCAGAACTGCATACATCGTACCATTCATTTATGAGCATTTTTTTGAGCATCTTTGTGAGCTGAATCTGATTATTAGGATTAAATTTGTCAATATTGCAATTTGAAAATTCAGAAAATTCTAATGGTCTATTTGGTATGTGGAATTGATAGAATTGAATTCACCAATTTAATTCATTTTTTGCACTATCAATTCCAAATCCACATAATTTTTGTGCTATCAAAAACTAGAATTGAAATTGAGGTACCCAATTCCAATTCCAAAGTTTGAATTCCATATACCAAACGGGGTCTAAAGCTTAAAATGGCATGTTAACACCATGTTTTGAATGGTTATTATTTAGAACAAATTTTAAAAGCATGAATGATATACATTGAGGTAAATGGGCCGATAATCGTTCAAGCCCAATTAAAAAATTTTGATCCAACTTAGGTAAGGGAGATATAACCCCTTCCCTAAATTTTTACGAGGGATTCATTTAGCTCACATTTATATTTTTGCATAGAAGAGAGTGAAAGAAAAAGAAAAAAAATGAAGTTTTCTCGCCAGAATAAAACCCTAGTCCGTCAGCTTCTCCAATGAGTGGGTGTACACGAATGCCACTTTTCGACTCCTAATTAATAATAATAATAATAATAATAATAATAATGATATTATTATTATTATTATTAATAATAATAATAATAATAATAATAATAATAATAATAATAAATTATAAAAATGAATTCATAAAAAATGACATGTTTTTAATTTTTTTTTACTTTGCAATTTTCTAGTTTTTTCAGTTTTAATTAGTTTTTTCATTTTTTTAAATTTCTTCTAGTTTCTTATAATGATATAAGGATAATGATAATGATAATGATGATGATGATAATGATAATGATAATAATAATAATAATAATAATAATAATAATAATAATAATAATAATAATTTTAATAATAATAAATTATAAAAATGAATTAATAAAAAATGACATGTTTTTAATTTTTTTTTACTTTGCAATTTTCTAGTTTTTTCAGTTTTAATTAGTTTTTTCATTTTTTTTTAATTTCTTCCAGTTTCTTATAATGATATAAGGCGTAATATGTACGGAGTATTATGTAAATTTGTTTTAAGCATCACATAAATGGCATGTCTTTTGTCGCAAAAAAAATTAAATTAACATCATTGATACCTTGGAAGCTAGCTTTAGTGTAATCTCGTATTCTAAGTTCATCTTTGTTGGGAAAAATATTATAGATTTTGATGATGATGTATTTAGAATGTAATAGGGACTTTAGGTCTCCCCCAATATTCAATGTAATTTTTCTTTTTAGAAATATTGTCAAAACCGAGTTCTTGAGATCTCCAATAAAGCTGTGATATTTCTTTAAGCGTTTTGATGCCTGAAGACTTAATCTTTTTCGGTGATATGGAAATTGGATATCTTGATCGGAAATGTCAGAGACAAGTAAGGATTTCTCAATCAGATGAAAATCCTCTGATCCGGAAGACTAAATAAGTACCGGATGTCTCGCTACAACCCGCTGAAGGCTAAGTCATCCAAACCGGAAGACTAGCGCGGATCTTTATCTCACCCGGAAGTCTAAGAATGACTTCTCTGGATTTGTCAGCTAAGCATCGGAAGACTCATTGAAGACCGAAATTCTCAGAAAGCGGACAAGTGAGAAAAGACTTAGAAAAATTATCTAAGTCTTGAATGAAGAAATTCTACCCGTTGGTAAGGAAAAATCAATCTCTTGATTTTCAACGGCTAGATTGACGATAATTATGCTGATTCAAGAACAAATTACTCGAAGACAA